ATTAGAATCCCTATGAAGGACTGTCAGTATAGCGGGGAACATCCCAGCCCTAACCTTAGACCCTAAACCAACAGGGTCAATCTATCTTGTCCCTCCCGCCCTCCCGAAGGCTTGGTTAGAGGGAACAGGTTGTAGGAGCTCAAGTAACAGCATCTGCCTGTCAGGCACTTAGTCCCAAAATAGCCCCTATAGGATACCTCATAAGGGTCCCTCCTCTAGTTCCTGAACCTTTGGAAAAGGGTGTACAGCCCTCCAGGTCATTCTACTTCTTTCTGGCAGTGGTTGCGTACATCGTTCTGCCTCACTCCCAGCAGACCTCGGCCGTAAACCTTAAAGCCGTGTCAGTGGCAGAAAGATCGGCTCTTAGGCTCAAACAGCTGAAAACAATTTCAATCGAACTTTAGAGTTCCAACCGCCCCCAGCTCACAGATCACTTAAACTACGAAACCTTTCGGGCACAAGAGTTCCACCCATGAGTGCTTTGCACGTTTACAGCTTTGGGGACGCTCTTGCAAAGTGTCTGGGTCTCACGTGCACTTGTCGAGTATAACACTAGTAGAGAGCAAGCTGGAGTTTAATTGTCCACTTTTCAGGCGCAGACTGAAAGTCTTCAAGATGATGTACTATGGTGCCGCCTGCAAGCCTTCTCAGTGGCTATCGGCTGCTTGCATTGCTTGCATCCTGCCTGGATCACTGGATCACTTAACATGTTCCACCTTGGGTCGACGTTGCCTTCGAAGACTTTGATACCTGAATGGTATACCCCTGCAACAGTAACATGCACGGAATTCGAGGGCTGGCAACACTGACTGTGGCGACGATGGTTTTGTATGGCCACAAAGAAGAAGGCCCTCTATTGGTGGGCCGAGCCACGAAACGATGAGGATCCGGCTCCACAAACTGTACCCCTACAGACCGTGCAATACCTGATCTTCATGGTGCATGGTCACTGGAGATATCGGGCTTCAGCAACTCAGAATTAGATGTCCATCATGATCGTGATGCCCAGATCTTCAACACTCTCTGGCAGAATCTGACTGGCCGAGAGCCGTAGAGTAGGACCCTTCTATATTTCTGGAGATTGCTCTAAATGACGGAGCTTTTTATACCACAAACTACCACCAGGAATTTTAATACATGGGGAGAGACTCACAAATTTAGGAAGGCCCGATGGACTTGTCTGCCAATCCCTGACAGTCCTGAAGTCCTGCAGCCCCAGTCCCCCACATATCTTACAGCCCTCCTGAAGCCCGAAGTTCCCTCAAACGGTCCAGGTCCCCAACAATCTGCCTTCAGACCTGAAAATCCCAATTCTCAAAACAGCCCCTGGACAGACCCCCAAAACCGTTATATAACCCCTAAACACCCCAAGCTCCGGTGCCAGGCGCGTCCTGGACAGCCTGGCCGGGGTACCTGGTAAGGGTTTTGGGCTTATAGGGGCTTTGGGATTTAATTCTGTCATGGTTCTGGAGCTTCTGTTGATGGTGAAAGTTCATGTGATCTTGAGAGTCCTGAGTCCTGTGTTCCGAATCGGGAACGAAAGTTGGGTTTAGTGTTTAGAGCCTCTCAGGGCTTACAGGGGTTACAGGGTTGAGCAGGGCATGGCCGGGGGGGGGGGGGGGGGGGGAGGTAGAGCGCAGTGTGTGTGTGTTGTGTGTGTGTTGTGTGTGTCTGTGTGTCTGTGTGTCTGTGTGTCTGTGTGTCTGTGTGTCTGTGTGTCTGTGTGTCTGTGTGTCTGTGTGTCTGTGTGTCTGTGTGTCTGTGTGTCTGTGTGTCTGTGTGTCTGTGTGTCCGTGTGTCTGTGTGTCGGTGTGTCTGTGTGTCTGTGTGTCTGTGTGTCTGTGTGTCTGTGTGTCTGTGTGTCTGTGTGTCTGTGTGTCTGTGTGTCTGTGTCTCTGTGTCTCTGTGTGTCTGTGTCTCTGTGTCTCTGTGTGTCTGTGTCTCTGTGTCTCTGTGTCTGTGTCTGTGTCTGTGTCTGTGTCTGGTTTTGTGTGCGTATATATATATATATACACACATACATACTTGTTTAAACAATTATTATACGGTATGACACGTCATTGTTACATATTATTTCAACCAACTTCTACAATGATCTGGGAAAGTGCCCCTGCATTCCCGAAGTCATGGCCTGGGCAAAGGTCCGGAAATACCGCGCTCGGGGCCGTCCAGTTCCGACCTAAGCTCGGGTTGAGCCACACACTGGGCCAAAGGGCGTCAAGGATCTTGCTGCTCCTGTAGCTTTCTGCTTGAGTTTCAGGTCGGTCTACTTACAGCTGCTGGGCCCTTCTGAGGCCATTTCAGACCTGAGCTTTAACTAAGGTTGGAGGTCGGCTTCTTGCAGGGTTCAGAAGCTCTGTGCGGGCTACGGCTAGTTCGGTAGGCAGGATAGAGGAAGCAGTTGCTTGAGTTGCTTGATCTTGGCTGTCTCTCTCTGGATTACAATTTGCTCAAAGTCACCCACGAGGGGACTTCATCACCAGTACCTCAGCGGCCGATTCCCAACTCTGAAGCCACAGCCCCCACGAAGCCACAGCCCCCACCCTCCGCAAGGGCGAAAAAGACAAAAACAGCTCAAGCAGACTTTTCAAGTGGTCATCACAGGTGGGGCAAGAACTCCCGAGCTGAACAGGCTCGGTGCAGAGAAGTGAAGTGTTTGGTCTTGTGAGAGCCTCTTAGGATCTATTCGGGCCTGAGAAGCCCGATTGCATTGCAGGGCCTCTTTGCTTTTGCGAGTTCTTGTCGCTGCTCTGGCTTCATTGTAGCCAAGATTAGCCAAAGCCCAATCACCAAGATGAAGGGACATGAAGGGCGTGGTTTTAACAAGCATCCTTTGCAGGGCCTCCTAAATTCCACCAAAAAATGACCTGAATTCACTTTTAGATAAAGCTTGCCGAGGCTCCCAGGCTCCGAAGCGCGTGTGCACGCGAGACGGAAAACAATGCCAGTGGGGTTCGGAGTCGAGAGGATAGTGCGGAGGTTCTGTTGAAGTTTCGCACCAGGATTCTCGACGAGGTGAGTCTTATGAGGCCGTTCCTGTAGTTAGGAGCTGCCGGGTTGGGTGTTGTTGCTCTCATGCTCTTGTGTGAAGTTCCAGCTTGGTCCAGGTACTCTTTGCGGTCTTCCTCAAGACCATGACCCTGGCGAACATGACGGCACCCCCCCCCCCCTCCCCCGCCCTTTTGTTGCACGTTCTACATAGCAGTTCGGGTTTTGCATGGTTTTGCTAGAACAAGGTATTCCTAGCTTTGGTGCCCGCTTTCGGTGCAATGTCGCCACGTTGAGGACGCAGTTCTGTTTAATGATTAATGGCAAGTAACACCATCTGGCTGAGCAACCCTCCCCACAATGTTAATCTGCCTTGCCTGAAGCCCAACACTTGGCACATTCAGATCCCAACGCTGGCGCGATCTCTTTAATCTTTCTGTCAGATGAAGTAGGGATGACGAATCTGCAAATCCCAGTAGAATGCGAGTTGTCCCACCACTGTAGCAGGAGTCCACAGCCATGCAGTCCTTTCAACGCAAACCCATCAACTACGCTCCCCTGGGGTCAGTCCCTCGCAGACAATGCCCCTAATTATCTGGGGTATTGCAGACAGTGTTGAGTGGCTTAGAGCTTGTGGGTTTCAAGCTTCCGGCTGCGGGACGTATCAAGGGTTTTGTGAGCCGTTTCGCATCTTTGCGCATGGCGCCCTTTGGGGAGATCTTGCCGCAGCTGCGAGGAGCCGCATGGGGTTCAGTTTGGGGATTTCCTCACAAGATTGAAAATAGCAACCAAAAAATATTCTTTACGTATATCACACAGATGAAAGATCTCGTTGTCCACAAGCTCTGAAGCCACTACTCCATGCAGTTCATAAAAGGCCTACAGTTCTAGGGGCAGAGAAGCCGTTGTCCAACAACGTTCCACGCGCGGAAAGTGTGACCCTACCTGGTGCAGTGTGAGAGGCGAAGTCGTGCTCCTTTACAACTGGGCCTCTTGGAATCTGGAAGGGGTCAACTCAAAAGCCGACTTTACAATGGAGACTCCGATGCCTTCTTTCAGAGATGACCCAGTTGCAGAGATACTGTAGATTCGAAGCTTAGAGAACTTAGAAGACCGAAGCCCAAATCCCAGGGTGTCGATGACGATGTTGCTGCTGAGATCGCAGCCGTCCTACGGGATAACAAGTCGCTAAACGTCCCCTGGCCTTGGTCGGTTTGTGTCTGTGATGCACATTTTCAAGATGACGAACATTTGATGCATCAGGCGGTTCCATATCTACGGGCTTCATAATTAGGCTGCACCGACTTCCAGATTATTTTCGATCGTGCAGGAGATGTGGACACATTTGTTCATATTGAGGATCATTAAATGACGAGTTTGCTGGGTTAGGGTTTCTTGGGTGTAGGGTTCAGGGTCTTCATGTACATGATGGGATTAGTAGCGCTCCTTGGGGGCAAAAGCCCTTCGTGAGGCCTGCTGCTTCTCGTGCATCCGAGGCGTTGAACCTGGGCGCCAACCAGATAGGCCGGATCGGCCTCATCCGCAAAACCCTGGAAAAAGTGAGAAACACTGTCGACCTGAACCATGAAAGAGGCTGCGAGACTGGCTGGTCACTTACAGTAGTAGCTCGTAGGCAAAGAACCGGGACCTTCAGCCTGAGCAGCCGGATGCAGACATCGACCCTGATACCTAGACCTGATGTTGCCCTGTGGGGGTTCGTGGGTGTCTTTACATCCTGAACGGGTAAGTCGGCATAGTCTGCATCTATATAATTGGGCCTCACCTGCACACTGGCCTACACCTGACACATAAGACTACACAAGGAGATTCGGCCGCGCTCAGAACCCTCAGACTCAAACCCCCTCTAGCCTGAAACCTTTCACTAACGTTGTAGTAGGCTGATGGTTCAACCTCACTAAGGCCGTGAAAAGCTTCAGAGTTGAGATCCTTCGGTGATTCGAGTGTTCCTGAGGGAAAAGTCCTTGCACTTGATTCTTCACTGCCCTCCTTGCATGTTCGGCTCAGCAGATTTGAGTCCCAGCTCGCGCTCGAGTGCATCCCATGGCATGGGCGCAGATGGGGCGAAGCACACTACCAGGATGCTACAGGTCCTGAAGGTGTCAGGCGAAGATTTGACGACCATACCTGCGGAAGAGCTGAGCGACGTGCTGAGTTTGAAGCTGTGCTTGCAGCCACTGTGTGGGGTGCCACGGTTCCGGCAACGGCTCCTGCGTGATTGTGATATCCTGGAGGACGATGCCCTGTTAGATGCAAGCATCCCTGTGCAGCTGGTCTTGCTGGCCTTTGTGAGTGCTTCCAACGAGGAGGTCGATCAATTGTCAGCGGCCTCGAGAGCTGGTCGAGCCAAGGAGGTGGAGGAAGCACTGCTACGACCCCAAGATCCCGATTTGCGTCTTCCGGATGGTTCAGCAGCGCTCCACAGCGCCGCGAAGGCAGGTCACGAGGACATTGTGCGCTTACTCTTGGAGGGCGGTGCTGAGAAAGATAGCCGGAACAACCGTGGCGAAACACCCCTTTTCGTGGCCGCCCGCAAGTTCCGCGTGGACAGTGCACGAGCCTTGCTGGAGGCCATGGCAAACCCGAATGCCCGTGACAATCGTGGGGAGACGCCTCTCTGTGTCGTAGCTCGCAAAGGGCACGTCCATGGGTTTCCACTTGGACATGCCAGGATCGGGCACTTGTTGCTGCAGATGGGCGCTGATCCTGATTCTGCTTGCAGCGTGGGCAGAACGCCGCTCTGGTGGGCATGCTTGCGGGGCGACATGGATATAGCGGTGATGCTGTTGCAGGCCAACTTAAAATCTCAACCGGACCCCGAGCCAAGATCTAAGTGCAACGGTGGTTGCCTCATATGCCTCATGTTGTCATGAACGAACTACAGTAATATAATGAGCAACTTACAAACTCACCCAAATGCCAAGAAGACCCACGTACTAGATTTCAATTTCATCCGCAGTGCAGGTTGGTGCTCACCATCAAGTGGCGGACGCTAGTGGCATAACACCTCTCTGGTTAGCATCTTGCGTGGGACTCGTCAGACTGGTGCACCTACTGCTGGAAAAAGGTGCTGACCAGACTTGGGCAGACAAGCGCGGACGAACGCCGTTTCAGATGACGCGTGAGCTTGTGCGCTTGCATGCCGAGGCAGGTCCGGACACTGACAAGTTTCGCAACGCCTGTGGCGCCCTTTCCCTCTTCCGCGGCAGCACTTTTCAATCAACCATGCGAACCCGTGAAAGGATTAAACTCTGTCTTGAAGCATTCCACAGATGCAACAGGCCGCTCAGCGACATTTGGATATCGGAGATGGGATACCAAGCAGTGCTGGATCTCATGTCAGAAGCTGCAGCAAGCAATGACATGTATTGCGAAGCCAGAGTCAAGCGCTTAAGAACCTGAAGCTGCATTGGCACTGCGTGAACGAGTGGGGGTTGTTCAATACCCTACAGGTTGACAAGGAAGATGCCTAGCTATCGAAAATGATCCAGAGGCACCCCGAATCAAGGATCCAGTTGACTGCGCCGCCCGCCCCGACTTGAGAAAGAAACAATGTTCATATCTGAGATGTCTGTGGCTGAGTACTTATCGGTTTTGCCTTGGAGGACTCCACTCTTCAAGTTCCCAGTCTTGCCTAGAGCCCTACGGTGTGCATCTACTTGGCCTTCGTAGGGTTTCGTGCATGCGTGGCTCCATGCCTAACGCAAGTCGCTGTCGCTCCTTCCACCAGCTTTGCTTGGATGATTAAGCCTTGCATGAGCCGTAAGTTCTATAAAACTACACACCCCTGAGTGCTTGCCCAACTCGATCTTCGGTCGTCAAGGCCTTCATGGTCCATCTCGCAGAGCCTCTCTTGCGGTTGCACTGCACATCAGATGATAGAGCTTGAAGCTTCAAGAACCCATCCAGCGCGTTCAGGGTGATTGCGAAAAACCTGAATGATACAGGCAGGGCTGGGTTCACAAGTGAAAGTGTCAAGGCTTCAGCCGCAGCGTTTGAGTCTAGAGCTCTGAGGGGCTCTCTAGGAATTTGCCGAAACTTCAAATGGCGCGGAGGTGATCCGGGTGTCATGGCCCTTTTCCCTGCCCTGCTAGAAGCAGAGCGCCTGCCACTTGGTACGGGAGTTTCGGATCGGTGGTGTTAAAGTTTATTATTTAAGGTTGAAGAGATGTGTTTTAAGTTTGCAGGCAGGTCGGTGTTGAAGATTCTTGCTGAGGTTGCCTGGGCGTCGGGTATTCGGGTTGCACCTTAGGGAACCTGCATGTCAGGTTTAGGCTTCCACCCCAAGCCTTGCTCCAAGGGCTTCTCAGCCCTTAACTCCGACATCTAAATTTCAAGGAAGCACAAAGCCTCGAAGTCTCTATACAACGTGCTCCAGAAAGTTGGAACATGTTTTAAGAATGATTAGAGCCAGGATTCCCTTCAACAACTGTTTCAACAACTGTTTTGGAGTTTACTGTAGACCCTGTAAACCCCCAGCTTCTAAAGAGGACTCGCCTGCACCTGCACCGGAATCGACTGGGAGATGGCGCCGCCACGATCCTCGCAGAGGTTGCCAAGCACCTCGTCAATGTGATAGGATATAAACAAGGGACACTCGTGTGACTATGATGATGATGCACATTTCGATTACTATAGTTCTTAGTTGGACATGTTGCTTACGCCGTTACCTGAAGCGGCTTGTTGTCTAGAGGGGTGTAGAGAGAGAGAGAGAGAAAGAGAAAGAGAAAGAGAAAGAGAAAGAGAGAGAGAGAGAGAGAAAGAAAGAAAGAGAGAAAGAAGCACAGAAAGACAGAAACAGAGAGAGGGAGGGAGGAGTAGAGGCAGAGATGGAGAGGGAGAGAGAGAGAGGGAGCTGTTCCAGGACATGGACAAGCACGCAAGCAGTGCCTAGCCCTTGAAGCGACTGTTTTGGGGTGCATCCTAAACTACTTGGAGGTTTCCGAAAATAGGGGGTACCTTATTCTGGGTCCTCATTCTAAAGGAATCCTACTATTCGGGAGTTTATTTTCGTAAAATCGCACTTAGGGCAAATGCCTCCATGCGCGAGCTCTACCTTGGCGATAACCAGATCGCCGATGTGGGTGCCGAGGCTGCGCCGCACGCTCACAGTGATGCCCGCGGCCTTGTCGTTTCTAGAGTCGACACCTTTGAGAGCTTCGATTTCACGCCTTGGCCTTCTTCCTCGAATCCGAAACGGTCAAGGGTTTAGGAAGGCTTACAAGGCTGGGGCCCATCATCTACAGCGGCCTAGAACTTGCCTAAGGTCCGATCCTTGATTCCCCGGTCCGGGGAAGGTTTCAAGAGTCTCGGGCCTGAAACCCGGATCTGACAAAAGCATACCCGAACACGAGCTTTTTCACAAGCCAACCTTCAGCCCTACTTAAAGGACTTCAACCATACCCGCCTTTGAACCGCAACAACTTGAAAGAGGCCTTGGCGGGAGCCTTGTACCAGAGCTGCGGCTCCCTTGGCGGCAGTGAGCGGAAGCTGGGGGTTGCTGCTACGGAGCTTCGATAATTTATCAAATTTGCAAGAAAATCAAGGAAACCATCTTTCTGCATCATCCACACTGATTATTCGCTGCTTTAAGTTTCTTAACAGAAACGCAAGATTTGGTGATGTTGCCGACTTGAGGTTCAGCTTTAGAACCTCAAGCCCTATTTCCAAAACCACTATAGACCGTAACCCCTAGGGTCCTTTAGCAAATCTTCTTGAAGGTTCATAGGTAGCGAGAAGAAGGGTTATGCAAGTACACAAACTAGGCAAAACCCAATGCCACAAGAAAACACAAGAGGAGCCACACATACAAAGAGCAACTGGGTCAGGCTGTTGCTAGCCCATTGTGGTGATGTGCTTCATCTGCCACACTGGATAGCCAGGCCATAGGGCAGTTCACCCCAATAATAGCTTGGGCAGAGCAGCAGCAGCAGCACCAGTCGGAATGATGTAGTGATGAGTAACAATACGCTGCTGGCTGCAAGAAGAAAGCCGGAAGATCTGCAATACCCGACCAGATCGGTTACCCATTCGCCGCAGCCTTACGCCGGTTTTTTACGGTTCAGGATAAACCCTATAAACCCTAAACCCTAAACGCTAAACCCTAAACCCTAAACCCTGAACCCTAAGTGGCTTTCAATTCAAGCTCCTGGCAGCTCCTTTGCCCCCGAGGGCTCGTCAAGCTTCAGCTGCCCAGCAACAACATCAGCTGCACGGCCCAGAATTTAGGGTTTAGGGTTTAGTGTTTAGGGCCTCGCCCTACAACATACATCTTGCACCCTGTCCTCAACTCTGTGAGATTTCACCCTACATGTCGTCTTAAGCTCTCTGAAGGAATAGGCCCCAAATAGTTCCTAAGCTCTCTCCCGTTCGCAACAATGAACTCCCAAACCGTGCACAGCGTCTCGCTGTTTTGGGCTTCCGGTGGGGGGCTTTGGGGGTTGGCTGTCTCAGCTTCATATAGGGGCCTGAATAATTGGAAAAGGGTGTTTAGTAGTACTTCCGACCCCTACATTAGTGCGTTTAAGAGATGGCCAAGCGATTTAGGATGTTGGAGCTTCGCAGGTATTGTCGGACTCATTGGGGTTACCTTACAGGGGAAGGAGGATGTTTTTTTCGATACATCCTGCAGCTGGCTCAGGTGCATAGGGTGCAGGGGTTTGGGTACAGGCAGCCATTACACACTTTTGCCGAACTCATGCCTTTCCCAAAGCCATAGGCTACACCACAAAATCTGACAGCTCAGCACCCACATGCAAAAGCCCTGCAATCTTCAAGATTGAGGAGACATGAAATAGCATGCTCCGGCTAGTGTTCATTGTTCTTACGTAAGCCCTGAAAGCCCTAAGCCCTGACCCCCCAAAAGGCGATCGGGGTGCAGAAGCCTTGGCCGACGCCTTGGTCCAGACCCTTTGGCCGTCACAGGCAAAGGCTTAAGGTTTAGGACTTTGGGTTTCGAAGGGCCTACGGTTTGAGAGAGAGAGAGAGAGAGAGAAAAAAAAAAAAAACTTCTTCTCTTCCTTCATAAGAAGGGGGACCAACAGGACATCGCGCGCCCCTTGGGGCGGCTCCCCTTCGGGGGGGCCAAGCGTGCAGAGAGAGCGAGAGAGATGAGGGTGTTGAGTGTTGGAACTTATCGTCTGAAGTTGGACTTACAATCAGAAGTTTATTAGCTTTTGAGCTGCACGCATTGGCTGAAGTTCAGGTTATGAAGTAAACCATAACAAGGATCCAATCTCTAGAGCACTGGCGTTGCAGCAGCATGCATGCATCTGGCACAGATCACATGGCCTTGTGTAGCTGCTCGTCGATGTCTCTAAGACTCTAAGATGTCTCCCGTAGACGCAGCGAGCTCAGGAATCAGACTCTGCTGGACTTGGATGCTCGTCATGCACAGCACAAGGGCGTTTCCCCAAGTAGGGGTGCCGCTACTATACACCCGCCCCTCATGTTCCGAGACCCTAGTAGCGCATCAAAGTACATCTTGAGGCATTCCACGTGGATTCGTCAGACTGGGTCGCACAGGGTATCTCAATGTCAACAGGGGGACGCAAACCTTGATGTTTTTAAAGATGTCCGCAGGTTCCAGTGCCGTTTAGGGTTGAGATTTTTCAGGGCACTGCGACCGATTTCAACTAGAATCGCACCGTACTTTGCCCTGAGTGAGTGCCATACTCCTGCAACTCAACCCCCCGTGTCTTCCTATCTACGACCTCTCTGCACACCGGACCAATCCTGCTTGTCACAAGGTTCAGCTGTGGAGGGGAGCTTAAAGTCCTAATGGGATGCTGTAAAGCTCTGTGTTTTGGGGGCGAGGGGGGGGGGGGGTGGTTTTTGGTGCCCATAAGCGTGCCCCGCAGTCTCCTCGAGTCGCCAACCATTGTACCTGTGAGAACTAAACCTAATCCCTAAACCAAGTCCGTCGACGTTCCCAAGGCAGCGCAGCCCCAAACAGCCGTAACGATTCCTTGTTTTGTGTGCTTGACCGAAATCCGAGCCTGCCTGCAACTCCTTGCATGCACAATTGGGATGGGGACACTGGGGACCCAAGGACTTGGGTCAGAACCAGCTCTCCACTACAGGCCTGGCACTGGGAGCATGCAAGTGGCCACGCAGCCACGTGGCAATGTGCACTTGCGGAGTGCAACTGGTGGATAGAATACATTAAAGCATTGTGTTGGTGCATTTCAGCTTCCAGCAGGGACATGCAACGTTTACGCGGCTTTTTTGCTGCTGCAGAGGCGTTTTCGCAACTCGCCCCAATTTCTTTGAAGCCAAATGCAGCGTGCCCTGGTCACCATACCGGTAAGTTGGTACACTGTTATATTGCTAAAGTTGGAGGTCTGCTGCATGCTGTGAGCTGAATCAGGTGTGACCCGCCTCCAGGCCCGCGCAGCTGGTTTTGATTTCGGCATGGGACTTGTAATCATAAAACCATATAGCCCGAAGCCAGGGATACCGCCTTGACTCAGTAGCGTAGCCTGCCTTATGGCAAAAGTTCGAAGTGAGGCACGTGGCGGTTTCTCGCAGTTTGGCCGCTGCTAGGGAGTTGTGAATTATTAGTTAAGATTGAATCAGAGTGTTTACAATCAATGAAATCCCCCCAAAGCTGGAGAGCCACCCAAAGGACTTAAAGTTACCTAAAATTAAGTAGAAGTAATTAGATAACTTAAACTTAATCAAAACTATTTTCAGTCTACTAGATTCATTAGAAATAAACCAATCAAATTCATGGGAAATATTACAAAATGCTTAAAATGAAGTAAAATTGTTTATAATTAAACAGAATTAAGTAAAAAAGTCAAAAAACTCCTTGAAATCCATTGAAATTCATTCAGTTCGTTTTAGTTCTTTACACTTAGAAATTCATTTTAATAATTTTAAATGAATAAATCAAATAAGTAATCTTAATTAATGTTAATTATTGTGTTTTTCATATTTTCATGAATTGTATTTAATCTTAAAACAATGCAAAGAAAGTGCAATTCATTCAAATTCATTAGAACTTAGTTTTAAACATTTTTATTTACATTAAAGTAGTTTTGTGTGAGTAGTTTTACATAATTTTAGTTAAGTTTATCTAATTTTTTTGTTTTTAATGCTTTGTCATGATTTTGTAAACGGAGTTTTTCATTTCATAAGATTCAAGGTAATTTTGCTTAAATTTGATGATTTAATAATTCTGTAAATTCATTTTACACAATTTTAATTGCATTTTTTAAAATGAAACTTAATGAAAATACTGGCAATAATGAAATTAAGCAAAATCAAACAAAACAAACTACAATGAATTACAGATAAAATGACTTGCAGTTAAATGACATGCATGAGATGTATTTGTAATTAATTAAAACTATTTAAACACAATTTATGAAATCAATTTTTCAAAACGAATTATCATTACGAATTTAAAAAGAGAAGCGCAATTCAAGTTTTACTGCTTCCTTCAACTCGTTTGCCAGAACGCGGAGATGGGGCACCCCAGTCTGCGCCGGCTGATGCTCGCTGGCAACAGCCTGGTACCGCAGGCAGCCGGGATAAGTCCACCTACCCCGATCGTGGACCGTAACTTACGGGCCACCCCAGATTGAATAACTCGCCCCTGCAACTGAAGTTCTCTGTAGATTTGTGCACCGGACGGTCGTTTCACCAAGTGACTCCGCAGTTTTTGTGATCCGCACGCCGCCAGCAATAGGTCGGGTTGTTTGACAGCCGAATGCATTACCTTCCTGGTATCTTTGGCGAATCTAGGCCACTATTGCAACGGAATTAGCCGCCCGTGCGTAACCCAACCTTAAACCCTACTAACCTAAAACCCCGAACCCTAACATTACCACACTCTGAAGGAGGAATCCTAACATCATCACACTCTGAAGGAGGAACCGCCGCCGCCAGAACCACGGGAGATTGTGCTGGGCAGTGGCGAACCTTGGCTTTGCCTGCACGATGTTGTGTGTTGTTGTTGGGGGAGGGTGGAGGTTTCGTTGCGGTTTGAACATCAAAAACATGTCTACTTATGTCGGTCATCATCGTTCCATCAGCCCCTCGCGGGCCGGGGCATGAACCACAGCACACAGGCGTTTCTCCAAACAGGATTACCCCTAACATACCCTCAAATGCCAGCTCAGCCGCACCCCATCCCGGCTCAGCAGCCCATCGCTTTTTTGTGCTTGACTTACAAGGTCTTTCTTCGGGGAGCCTAGGGCGGACCCTAACTACACGTGTTATGTTCTCAGGATGACGGTTCGGTTCAAAAAGGGAGCTGGGAGGGGAACCTAAAAGCTTCACAGAGGCGGAAGCTCTTGGCCCATGAATACGTCTAAATCAAGCTCCATTCCGATCAATCCCATCGAAAACCTCAAACTGAATTGGCCACGGCCCAAAACGCTAGGCTTGTTACAGGCCCCCCGGGCGGGCACGGCGCGACAAGGGTTTGTAACAAAAGCAGGTTCTTGCGACAAGCCTCGCGCGACAAGGCTTGCGACAAGGAGCGTTTTCTAGAATGCCACGCGACAAAGGTTTGAAACATAGCTGGCGCGACAAGGGGTTTGTAACAAGGTGGGGGCCGCCTCTTCGCGACAAGGGGGGTATTGGGCCAAGGCCAATTCACTCCTGAAGCCGCTCAAAAACACTCGAAACCCTAGGCCCTAAACATCCTTAAATCCTGGATCCTCAACCTCCTTCCTCAGGAATATCTTGTGGAAGTGGACACCTCCGAGGAGCTCCCTGGACCCTGTAGATGGTTTTCGGCTCAAGGCTTAAAATGAGGTTTGCAGCCCTAAACCCTGAATCCTAAACCCTAAACCCTCAACCCTAAACCCTAAACCCAACCGCGTTTGGAGTTTGAGATTTGGGCGGCTTGAATGGCATCCCAGAGCTCGACGAAGCTCTGTCTGGCCTTTCACGTTTCTGTAGAGTTGTTCAGAGCGCGCCCATCCTACAAGGCTCAAGGCCTAAGGCTCCTAAACCCCCAAAACCCCCTAAAAGCCCTAAACCCTAAACCCTAAGAAACCCAAAGCCTTTTTTGAGAGCCAAGAGGAGAGATTCGGCATCCATCTGCAGATCGACAAGCTCAACCGGACTCTCAAAATTAGCCCCTCAAGCCAAGAGAGCGGCCTTGAGCAGAAGGGTTTAGCACTAGGGGTTTGCAGGGTGTAGGGGTATTTGCTTCAGCCACTCGTTCAGTTTTTGGCCGTTTGGGCTTCCTGACATCTTGGGGGGGGGGGGGGGGGGGTGAAAGCCATCCCTGAGGTTCTGGAATAGGTTCGATGTTGATACTGCGGCCGAGCGATACCTTACGGTTTGATACCGGTATGAATTTGAAAGCCTATAAACATATTGTTGGAAGATCCATGGTTGAGAGTTTTTTCGAAGGATTCTAGGGGCTGTGCAAGGACTTGTTGTGCGCTGGCTTACTGCTACTGGTAGCTGTGTGCAGCGTTCAAGAACAGATTTTGCTGGCGTACGACGATGTGGCTATTCAAGGTGAACAATTTCTACATCTTGCTAAGCTGATTCTATCGCAGTGTGCCACCCACTCTATGCTGGAGATGAGATGAAGAAGCTGGGCGCCCTATCGACTGTTGCCTGTAAATCACTGACCTGCCCCCCCCCCCCCCTCCAAGACGCATCGGCATAGCCCTTTTTTAGCCGCCAATTTGCGCGCCTTCCCAAAGCCCCGGTCTCCGAACTGTGAAAGGTTCGAGGGCTGCACTTCTCTACAGATCAAAGCTGGGTTTGTTTTAAGCCTCCATCCCAAGCAAGGCGGCTTCTGCAATCAGAGCCCAAGCCCTCCGCCCCTTCCGCCCCAAAGAAATGTCGAGAACTCTCCGGGTCACTCCCTTGCCGCCTTTGCAGGTTCCATTGACAGTGGGGGCTTGATCGCCCGCTGGGGCGAGGCAGCATTACATTGGTTTCGGATATGACCGGCAAGAGTTCTTACATTCCAGCAAAGTCTTGGACTTCGGAGATTGAGCTCGGGCATGGATAGTTCTCGGTCCGAAGAGAGCTTGATAACACTGGTCGAATCATGCTTTGTATTGCTTTGTCCATACGTTGTAACAACGTGATCAATGTAACGTGAGTTGCGGCTTGCACGACTCCTGTCACGGGAACGTCTTAGTGAAGCCATTTTGAGGCTTTGTGTGTTGAGATTGCTTTGGCAGCAGCTTTGACCCAGTCGCTCGCTTTGCGCAACGAATGCACATGCATGTGCGGATGCCTCGCTTCTCCGTCAGATGTAGTGGATTGCACTTGTCATCGGCCCATCTCGGCGAAGTGGTAGTTGAAGTGCCTTTCATGGCACGACTCCGAACTTCCATTGAGCTCTGACAGCTAAACTGTCCTGGGCCCTACATACCTATATGTCCTATGTCCCACTGCAGACGTTACCCCGGGGTCCGTTTCCCACAGCTTACAAGCTCCGCACATCGAGATCAGGAGCACTCAGAGGAAGCGGTCGCGCTTGGCGACCACGTCCTCGAGGCATTCAAGAGTCCATGCCTGCCCAGTTTGTGTGAATTGTTTCCAAGAAGTGGGAGTTTGCTCTCGCAACCTAGAGAAAGCGTGATGATGGGTTTCTGAAGGGACAAGGTACCTTGCTTCTTTGTCATTCACACGACGCTATCAGAGTTGTCTTGACCTAGCATCACGCGACTTCGTTTTGCAAGAATGCTTCTGCCAAACCGCCCAAGCTTACCCAAAGAGCTTCACAATAGTGCCACGTGGATGGTGATCCGAAGACCCTTATCCGCATCCCCCTCACCCACCGAAACCCCTTGAACCTTAAACTTAAACCTGTACTTCCTTATGGCTCGCAGGTTGCATAAGATTCCGATAACGGGCTTTGCAAGAAGAACAAGCACAAAGCAGGCTTGGGGGTTCAGAAGGCCAAGCCCCTGAAACCGAAGCCCTAGTTCGTGTAGCAGCCACGCAGGTGAACGGGCTCAGGGCCATCGACGAAATCCTTGCCGAGTGCAGGAAGTGCCAGGCCTGGGATGGAAGGGCTCAATTGGCTGCATCAGGACGGAAGGGCTCGATTGGCTGCGTCAGGGTTTGCTGGGCCTTCATCGGGTATACTTCAGTACCCTGAGGCTCCAAGGACTGATTTTACCCCTTGCTTTTGGGCGATTTTGAGAATATAACCTTGGGGTTCATCAGGCTTTGGATGGTTTGGGGCTTTGGGGGTTTAGGCTGCGTTTCTGGGCAGCAAATCCCAGGGCCTGCTGTTCTACAGCCCTAAAAACCGACCTCCCAAGCTGGCACCGGGTTGAGACCCTTAACCCTACTGCCTACACCGTTTGCCCTAAGGATCTCACGGCGTGGCTAGAGAATAGCAATAATAATCATAATAATAATAGTAGTAATAATAATAGCAATCGCAATAATGGTAAAGATAAAGACGTGTTGCAAAAAGAACCGTTTGCCCGTGGCAGGTGCAGCGGGTAATCTTCAAGCGTGCTGCCAGCATCCTGAAAGCGCGCCTCCGTGCAGAGTCCGTCGGTTTTTGTTTTTTGGGGTTTAGGGTTTAGGGTTTAGGGTTTAGGGTTTAGGGTTTAGGGTTTAGGGTTTAGGGTTTAGGGTGTTTCGATCTAACTTGTTTCGGGGTGAGGGTGCAGGGTTGAATACAGGTGCGGGACTCCTCTCAATTGTCAATTGTCTGCCAAGAGGCTTTTCCATAGTATGCCACCCGCATGTGCATGATCCCAAGGAGCCTGACGCGAGCATGTGAGCGGAGCTGCGTTCTGTAAGGCCTATACCCTGAACTACCCTAAACCCTATAAACCCGAAGCCCTAAGCCCACCCGAAATCCTGCACAGCAAAGGAACTCTCGTATACAGCTTGTCGATCACCGAGACCAGCCGCAGGCTCTCCTCTTGAAAAAGTACAGAAACCGTGCGAATCCAGCCGCAACAGTCAGATGGTTTCGGTGATAACGGTTTAAGGCCCCGTAGCTATCAGTCTCAATTATACACTACTTGGAGACATTTGGCGCCAGAACATGTCACAATTCCATGGGAAGAAGTCGCCAAATCTTGCCAAAAATGTGGTCCTCATTCTTCTGACCACTCACAAGGCGCCTTGTCTTGTAAGTCTTGTTGCCGTGGTCATTGAGAACTGAGACTCAGTGGTAGTTGCGCGTTGGCTGCATTGCCCTTGAACCACACCCCCTTTGTTTTTTCCCGAAGAGGGGCCTGGGGCTCTGTTCTTGGCATACTAGGCCCTAGAAGCACGACAACACAGCTTGGCGGCTCTAAGAATTTGCATTTCCTGCTGGGCCAGGGCGAGGGTTTCTTAGTTTACAGGATTAAGTTCAGAGCACCTTGGCGCCTAAACCCCCAAAGCCTCAACCCCTAAACCCAACGAAGCCGCCAGGGTTTTGCTTCCGTGCCTTGTCGCAGGCGAAGGGAAAGCTTGGGAAAACCGTCCAGTGGCGCCTCGACGGAGAGAATGAAGCCCCAAGCCTGGCCTCGAAACCCTGCGGTTTTCGGCACGGTCTAGGGTTTAGAGTTGGGGGGTTTAAGTTTCAGAGTCTGGGGTTTAGGAGTTTGAAGGTCTTTGGGGTCAAGTCCAAAAGCCCCCAGATAAACTAAACAAACGGGGACGCTTCCTGGTGGCTCGAATCCTTGTGGCATCAGGGTCATCTTTTGCGCAACATGGTGGTTGCTTGGGGCTATTTGGGGTTTGTGTGTGTGTGTGTCACCTCGTGCAGGCGCTCACTGCCACCCCCCCCCCCCCTCCCATCCAGCATAGCACAGAGAAGCAGCATGCGCAGCTTCGTGCACTCCAGGTATGGCAGCATGATGCGGTGGAAGGTTAGGCTGGATGACGGCAGCTCGGCAGAACCTTTGGCTTTGTCGAGGGTTTAGGTTGAGCCTAGCGGCCTAGCCAATGGTACACAGCGACTCAAGGGGCTCATGGGTTTGGCTCCACTTGAGTCACTTGAGGTTGGTTGTGTTTCGAGGTTCTTTCTTGGGGGTCTCCGCAACTAGCGAAAGGTCTTCCTAGATGCCAGCCCTCAACCCTCAAACCCTAAACCCTAAACCGAGTCCCAAAAGAATCCTTGGATCCGATTTCGCCGCCCCCTGCAACCACTCTGGCCGGGCCCTCTACAAAGGCAAGTTTTCTGGCTGTTCAGGATTTCAGGACTGGGGGTGTCTGGAGGGCTCCGCTAAAGGGACAAGTCTTCCTCAATTTTTCGTGTGACTCGCCTTTATCAACACTTGCTGGCTACCGTGCCTGGGCATGTCGCTGCTGAGGGAGTGATCGCGTGAAGACTGTTCCGGAGGGGGGGGGGGGAGGGAGGCAACAGATCAAAGACATGCTCCAACATCCAGGGCTTCAGTGGTTGTTCAGTTTTGTTCATTCCCTGGGGCTTGTGGGTTGGTTTAAGAATGGGATTTCCCCCGTGTGCAAGGCACCGTCCTTATGTGCCGCAGCACGGACCTGTGCCCGTGCGATGCCCCGATTCCCATGGAGTTCGGAGTCGGGGACCGCCTTGCAGTAGATCGCATGAGCTCTGTGTCCTAAACTCAACTCTGAACCCTAACTAAACCCTGATCTGACACTAAACCCTATACTGTTCATCTACAATCATTCAATTCGCATGGAAGTGCACACGGGTAAACTGGAGTCCTAGGGACACCCCTGAAGGTTTGTCGGCTTCAAGCGTAGGTTCAGGGTTGAGAGGTCGGGGGGTCACTTTGGGATGAAGGGTTTGTGGTGGCCCAAATAGACTTTCGTACGGACTAGGGTCATGGGCCATTGCGGCAAATGATGCCAATCATGGGCGCATTACGTCCGTAGGGTGGGTAGTGTAAATTCTTGTTGTGTTGTATTTAATGCTTGCAAGTGTAGGCCAGAACCCTCAACACCCTAACACCCAGCAGGACAACACCCCGAATCCTCAACTCTAAAACCCTGCACCCTGAACACAGGAGATGGTACAGTCCCAATCTCTAGGAGCAAAGGCGGGGCAGGGTCGCAGTCTGTCGCCTTCTTCTTCAGATCAAGTGGACCCTGCAAAGCACCCACCCGACCCTACAGGGTAGTAAATCAATAAAGTTGGTGGTTGGGCTGGGGTTAAGGGTTACGGGACCTGTCGTCGGCATAGGATTTCTTCGAGCGCTTTGGAACGGCCTTTGCAAATAGTAGGCTGCCCGCTGCCACACAGCCTTCTCTCATGCGTGTATGCACCTTCAGTTGCGGGCGTTGTCCCTCGGCAAAAGCCCCCAACCCTAAACCCTAAACCCCAAACCGTCAGACCCTAATATCCCCAAACCCGAAGCCCGAAGCCCGAATGGTTTGCCCGGCCTTTGGCCTGTCAGGGCGTCGTCTGCGCTGCCCAAGCTACCGGGTCTCCTCAGACGGCCCTGGCGCTCAGATCGTGAAGGTCATATGTTAACCAAATGAGGTTCTTGTTGGGTTTAGGAAGCAGAAGACTAATTCTCCTGTTACTCCTGTTTGTTCTGGCATTGGGTCTGGTCTGACCTCGGTCCTCGTGTTCCTTCATTAGAACCCCAGTTTAGGATTTGCCGAAAGCACCCACCACAATCAACCCTGATTATCTCTCACCCTGACCCAAACTTAATGGACTTACCTTAACGGCAAGCACCTTAACGGCAAGCCAACCTAACGCAATGTTGGAGTGAAACATTTTCTGGGCAAGTCGGGCCGACACGTTTTCATTGCGCCCGAGGGGAGGGTTTAGGAATTTTCCGTCCGCCGCGTGGTTCAAGGTGGTTCAAGGTGGATCTAGGGGGCTTTAGGGTTTAGAGGGTTGGGTAGGGTTTAGGGTTTCCCCTTTCTCGCCCCGTCATTCATGGTGGGTTGGTGTTAGCCTTTAGGAAACTTTAGGGTGCAGGATTGGGTTGATGATTCAGGGTTTAGTATTCATAGTCTTCCCCTCTTCCGCCTGTGGTTCGTGGTGGGTTTAGGGTTTAGGGTGGTGGAGTAGGGGGATACCAAAGACCGTGGGGCAAGAACGCAGAGCGCAGACGCGTAAAATCCCCACACCCCTCGTTGAGCCCCCCCAACCCTGCAAGCCTTAAGAAAATCCCAAGATCGGCACCGGCTTCGTCCAGGTGCGCGTCGCTTTCTTCAACATCGGCCTCCGAGAGGTTGGTCTCTCGTGATTTTGGGGGCTTAGGGTTTAGGGTTTAGGGTTACCTCCAGGGCCGTAGGGCCCATGGAAGCCCCCAATAGCAGGGGGGGAGCGGTGTAGGGCTTGTGGGGTTGAGGGTGGGGACCCCGACACAACGAGGTATCTCTAAGGGACCCCTAGTTAAAGAAGAGCCGTCATCAGCTCTTTGTTTTGTGTGCGCGAATCTAGAGGGTTGGCGGATTTTGGGATTTGGGGCAACATGTTCAGGGCTTAGGTCTTGGGGTTTGGGGTTCAGGGCCTACAATATGTGTGGGCCTTGTATCGACTGAGGTTTATTCTGAACGAGAAAGTCTCCTTGCCTCCTCCCCCAACAATTGTAATCAGACAAAGAATAATAATAAGAAACTAGTCGTGATGATAATAATGTTTCCTTTCATCAAGGAACCCTTGGCTCGATGCAGAGTTTTCGAAGCTACAGAATTAGGCCAAGATAGGGCTTTGACTGCAGATGGTACGGTTTGCGCCAGGTTGCGCGCGACGGCTTGCAGCTCATTGCAAAGGAGGTGCCGCAGCGTGGGTTCCGAATTTGCACCCTCAACTTTCTAACCCTAAACCCTATAAACCCTATGATGCCTCAAAAGCAGCTGCGAAAGCTTCGGACGAATCCTGTGGACCTCTGCTGTAGCGTCCCCTCGGATTGATTCTATCTCACTAGCGGCTGAAAAAGGGGCTGTGGCGGCTATGGTTTGTGGTCTTGTTAGGGGGGGAAAGGGCTGGCCTGGCCTCTTCTAAGAAAGGGAACCCGGAACCAAATTCCCTTCCTTGGGATTTGTTTTTTTCCTCCATTAAGCGTGGCTGATGGCTGAGAATGGAGCGAGTTGGGTGTTGTAAATTGCGGGGGAAGGGGGGGTGATAAATGCCAAGTTAACATGAAGTAAAAAGCCCTTGGACCCTCCTAAGAGCCCTCAAGGGTCTTCAACCGTCTTCAGGAGGGCACCACCGAAGTGGAGTTCTACGTCTTCCTCGAGAAGGGCAGAGGCGGACGCGAGATCGGAGAGGTTCTTGCGAGATCAGATAGGCTTTGGGGTTTAGAGTTTCAGGGTCTATGGTTTACATCTCACGGTTTAGGGTAGGGGGCTTTGAGGACTCAGAGGCTTGAGGGCTTTCTCATCCTTAAGAGAATCTGCAGGGTTTAGGGGCTAATTGTTTGGTTCCTCGATCCCCCGCCCCCCAATTTGAAACAAAAAACATGTTCCTATGACTTGCATTTGTTAACCTAATCATTGCGGAAGGACGACTCTCGACCCACTCCATGACAGACTCTGCCGGAGCTAATGAGCAGTATTCTTTTAAAACGGCGCATAAAAATTGCTCCGCCCTGCATGCCATGTCAAATTTAAATGGACTTGAAGTGCCTGCTCCGCTACTCCGTGGTACGGTCATGTCAAAGTCACACGGACAAGTTCCGTATTAAGGAGTCGGGGTAAGCAAGTCATCTTGCTACCCTGAGTCTCATTGATGTGTTGCCTAAGGGTTGAGGGTCATACTGAGAAGCCGGCCAGAATTAGCTGACCAGCTGACAGTGCTCACTATAGCCTCCATGTCATGTCTTGGGATCAATCAAGGCTTCCCTGGGCCCCTAAACACAAACCCGAAGTCTGAGGTATTGCCGAACGTGCTTCAGGTGTGTCCTCGTTGATTTTTCAGTATGGGTAGAGGGGGACCTTCATTTTGAAAACTCCCATGTCGTATTTCGTAAGGTATCAGGTACTTCGTTTGAAGGTTTCATGTTGATTCGAGGTTGTGCCGTGCCCCCAACCCCCCTACACCCTCAACCGTGTCTGGAGGCGCCAAGCTCGGATTAGACGTCACTGCCCTCCCGGACGGATGCCTCCAGGTAGGGCAAACGTTTGCGGCTGAATGGGCTTAACATGCCGGGAGAGGGGTTTTATGGTTTAGCGTTACGAATTGGGATTTTGTGGGTGCAGAAGTTGTGGAGTATAGTTTTTGTGCCATTTCAACTTTCCACCAACAAGAACCCTGAGTCAAAACAATATTGGTGGCAGAGGCTTTCAAAGGCTTCCACAGAAGTTGTTTGTCCCTATGTGGGCCGCCTCGGCCGCGGCTGGCTCGAGGAGCACCCAAGTGAGGCAAACATGAACGAAAGAAGCTTCAAACGCCGGTCAAGCGTCGGGCTTTAGGGCTTCAGAGCTCGAATGTGCAGGGTCAGTGCCCCCATGATGGAGCGGCTTCCTTCTAGGGACCCCTTAGGATACGCAAAAAAACCCTTGCAGTAAATGGCCCCCCGCTTCAGGGAAGTTGGGTGCCTCCGATTCGCCTCTGCCCTCACGCGTCGTCCACACCCTGTGTGGGCATCCAGAAGGTTGTATAGTTGTAAACGCTTGCGCGCGCCGCCTCGGCAGGGGGTGCCAGGAAAGCAAGGGTGCCCAGGCTCTAGGAAGGAAGGTCCGGGAGTTCTCAAAAAATGCCCAGGGGGGGGTCCCCCCAAAAAACAGCCAAATTCTGAGACTGGGGGGGGGGGGGTCCCACAGGGCGAAGGGGGGGGGGGGGTCCGCCCGCTCGATGTCATATCGCGATCTTAACTTTCAGGCACCATGCAGGCCACAGTGCTCGCGCCCTGCTCGCATTTTAGCGATGTAGTGTGACATTATCACCTTCGCGCGGTGCGCATTTCTTGTTCGCACAATCGCACTTCCGCTCCACCACTGTTTGGGATCTACACATATATAATCATATATAACAATATATGCTGGAAGATGGAGCGTGTCAGCTTTGAACCATGCCGTGTTTGATGGATCCGTTTAGGCTGAGCTGTGTTCCTTGACCACATCTCCGCAGCGCAGGTAACTTCGATTGGCCGGGGTCTGGTGCAGGCCTGTTTAGGGTCTGGGGGTTTAGTGGTTCCCTCTACGACGTCCTGTGAAAAACTGCTTCCATTGCACTTCCCTATGTAGTATTCTTCAACTGGTGGGATCCGAACCACTAAGCAAGGCACCCGCCCCCTCGAAGACCACTATTGGTCCAGATAAGTTTGGTGAATCGAAGTTTGGAATGTGTTTCAGGGTGTGGTCCCGCTTTGACTGAGGGATTTTTCCCGGACGCTACGAACCCTACTTGGACCCCAAAGTATCCAGAATACTGGCGTGGAGGCATATGCAGGCAGAGTCTGGGTAAGAGCCTGCTTCTGGTTCTGAAGACACTGAGGGAGGTCCGAAGGTTTTTTGTGGAGGAACTTGTCGTCTCTTCAAGAGCAAGACCCTTCAGCATTGAGTTGACGAGGAATGGAATCATATCAGTTCTCTGGCGAGCTCAGTCCGAGCAACCTGGCAAAAATTGGCCAGAGTCTCCGGACCACGAACCCAAAACCCCCTGAAGTCGTTCGCAGGACCCAAGTCGAACCTCCTTGCGAGCTGTGCAGGAGATTCAGGTTTTCGCAATTTGCACAGATGGCCCCTCTTCCAGTCCACCAAACACTGAACCCGACGCCCAGTGTTCCGCACCCAGGTGGGGGATCGCATTGTTCAAGTGAACAGCACCTTTGGCCAGTCTGATGGCCTTTTGGAGGAATGCCTGGGACCTACAGAGTCGGCTTTCTTTATGACTTTGGGGACTCATAGTAGCCGGGGTTCTGGGGATTTAGTACATGATTTCCGGCTGAGTTTGGGAGTCTGGGCTTGTGCTGATCAAGGGTCTTCGCCCGGGGTTTTTGAGGTTGTTGCGCTGTATGCCCAGACCACCCTAAACCCTAAACACCCCTAAACCCTAAACCCTGAACCCTGTGTTAGCCTCAGAAATCCGACTTCGGGGGATGCTGCGGGTTGGAGCTCTCCCCACCTTCCCATATTCCGGCTTATCCGAGCCAAGGTTTATATTTTTAGGTGCTTCTGCCTAAGTTTGACAATGTCTATATATCAATATCTCAGGATACAATATGTCGACACAAATGGGCAAGTGCACTGCGCTCCCCTCGCAATGAGTGAGTTGCAGGGTCTTGAGAAGGGCAAAGCTTGGGGTTTTTAGGAAGGATGGCCAATTTGAGTTCTGAGCTGTCAGGTCGGAAGAAGAGCAGTCTGATGATTCGCCTGCGCCGAGAAGACGGCAGCAGCACACCATGCACTATCCATCAGTAGCCCTCGGCCTGGGCATCAGGGAAGCCCTGTCGCTAGTTGGGTAGTGGTTTTCAGAAGTTCTCTTTACAGTTGCTTAGGGTGTTTAGGCATCCCTGGCTGTCATCTGTTTTTCTTCTTCGGGGCTACAAGGTATAAGTAAGGCATAGGGACCGGATCTCTGAAACAAGGAAGCAGGTGCAGGCCTTTTTATTTTTGTCAAGTGCCTCTTAGCTGGGGGGTGTTGTTTGAAGCAAGGCTTATAAGTCTTTTAGCTATAGGGTCAATGGTCTGCGACGCATCTTTTTCTTCAAGCGGCAGCTTTTCCTTCCCGGTGCAGAGTGCATGGAAGTCGGGTCGATGACGCGCAAAGCGGACCCTGAACCCAAACCTTTTGTGAATGGCATGTGTGTAAGCAACTATGGGCATTCGTTGTGTATACTACTTCGCTTTGTCGGAACTTGGCCTGTGCCAAGGATTTAGCCTCCTTAATTCGGCGACCAAAAAGGAGGCCTCCCACACGTTCGGGTCGCACGCCAACAACCGGAAACTTTAAACCGCCGGTGTGCAGCCGCACGGTTGTCCAAGACAGCCAGCATCTCATCCTCACCCACGCTGCTGGTATACACGATCCTGCGACATGCAAACCTTTCAATGGCATGTCATGGTCCAAAACCTATTAAACCTCAAGTTCGCCTTAGCCTTAGACGGCAGTTATCTCTCCACTCGGAACCCGCGAATCGCGGAAGCTCGCCCCCTCTTTCCGTGTGTGAAGAACAGAAGGATCGGCTGGACTGTCTTGAATCATTCGTGCGCAGGCTCACCTGCATTCCCGCATTCCCGCATGGGTTCACGTAGGTTTGGATGCATCTGGTGTCGTGTAGATACACAATTCTTGCAGTTAGGCCTGTGCAAGCTTGCGTGTGCTTGCAATCTTATACGATCCGGTGGCAGAGGGCTCAAGCGAAGCCTGCGAAGATCTTCATATGTTTAAAGCCATGTCCGCTCAGCATCCTGCCGAGTCTTTGAAGCCGGTGGAGCACCTTGACAGAGGTTTAAAAGTTTACAGGATTACACGGTAATTACAGGGGTCCATGGCGCGTCTGCGGTTTTAACATCAGAAAGTGGTCGGCGTGCATTCATAGCCAGAGGGATGAAGGGACAGACATACGCGCACATCATCCCACTGTATGATCGCACACATGCCCTGTACATGTCCGAGGATGTATATTTTTATGTCTGCCGGCATGATGTGCCCCCGACCCCCGGCGCTCCCGCTGCCTGCTCCACCTATTTCTCCGTCTGTGGCTATCTACCTTTGCATCTAATATCCAGACTCTCCTTTTAGCAAATATACATACCCCACACAAAACTACACACGCACGCGAACAAAAAGAGAGACAACCGCAGCACCGTACCTGGCCACTGCTGCTGCCCAGATCTGCGCCGTGGTTTTCCTGGGACCACGACCATGATACAAGCATGTACTTAAGCAGGTACCAGCAGGTACAAGCAGGCAAGGATCATCGAAAAGAGCGATTGGAGCGGCCCTCTGGGCTCTACACCGCAGAGCCCCTGCCCCCCCCCCCCTCCCCCAGGTACATAAATCGCATGCAGCAGATCGGTCGCCGCCCTTGGGGAGAAGCCTTATAAGACCCAGGGCCTGGCGACATCTGCCCAAGAAACTTGTCCAACAGCCTTCCGCCCAGGCCCTGATAAGTCCAAAAGCTGTTCTGATAAAGCATCAGGGTTTACTTAGGGTTTTGGCAGTTGAGGGGTTTAACAAGAGGATCGGTGGATGGTGCCCTATATAATTCTCTACAAGGTTGCCCTCGGAGAGATCCTGGGAACCCACCGTGGACAGCGCCGCCACCTTGCAAGAGGTGCACGGGGGTGCAGGGGCTTAACCTTCATGATGACTCTATGGTGTGCGTTTTGTTCTTGAGTGTCCGATTCTGCAATCGCGCCATCGTTGTACTCAACCCGAAAAGAAAGAGAATGCAGATGCTGTGGTGATCAAAATTTCCCAGTAAGAAACCTTAAACCCTAATAAACCTTAAACCCTAAAGTTGGAACATGTCATGGCAGAGGGGGCCTCTGGGGTCCCTGCCGTCAGCTCAGCGACTCCCTCCGTGATTTCCGCAGCGAGATCAATTCACAGCACCTTGTCTGCAGGCCCTGGAGTTGTTTAGGGTTTGGGGTTTGGGGTTTAGGGTTTGGGGTTTAGGGTTCAGGGTTTAGGGTTGAAAGTTTAAAAAACCCTTGCTGTGGATGCCACCATCGGCGGTGCAGAACCCTGCAGTTTGCTAGCAGCCAGTGTCTTCAGCTTGCTCTCTGGCTGTCCAGATTTAAGGTTTTCGAAGCACAAGGAGCTCTTGGTGGACTTGACTCAGCAGGTCCTGGGGTCCCGGGTTCTGCTTCAGGCTTGAGAATTTCGTTCGGGCCCAGTGGGCCCAGGTTGGGGGTTTGTGTCTTTTTGTTGTTCCGCTTAAGGGCTTTTACGTGTTAAGTTACAGTTGGTTGCAGGGGAAGCAATTTACAGGTTTCGCTGGGTTTTGTAATGGATTCCGCCGGGTTCTTCGCTGGATTTTTGATGCACATTCAAGCATGTGGTTTTGCAGGAAAATACCAATAGGTCGCATTTCGCTGGAAATTGCCATGTGTATCCCGGTTTTCTCTGTGGCTGATGCATAGGGAGCATGAGCCCTTGGATATGTGGCCTGCCGTTCTCCACCCCGAATCGGAGAAGCACTTGTTTAAGGCGTGACGCTCTTCGCCATGTTCTAGTTGATGATTGAGATCTATATGGATCTACGCAGCTCAGGGACTCGTGCTTGGATAGCGTTTGCAACATGTCGTGATGGAATGTGTGCTCATAGTGTGCTCATGCACCCAAAGGTGCTGCGTGGCTACAGTTCCACATGTCATGTCTCTTTCCATCCGAGCTGGTCTGCCCCACCCGCGTCTCCACGAGCCTGCCCTCGCAAGCCAGAAAAGGCGGGGTTGGATTTGGTCACTTGTCAAGACAGCCACTGCCATCTCTGACAGAGATATCGGCAGCGCCAGCTCAGAGAAAGGACAAGAGATACTTGGCCGAAGCACCAGCGCACCGGCGGCAAACCAGTGGGCCGCCTCCACTGGACGTCACCGAACGGAACTTGCCAATTCCCCCGATGGCCGCGCTCAGCTCATCTTCAAAGCACCGCTACGAGCCGGAAACCTCATCCTACTGGGTGGTGAACTTTCACTTTCAGTTTCACGCGGCGAAGTCAGCCTGACAGGCTTTGTAGCCCGGCACTAGCTGTGCTCAGCACATCCACCACAAAATTGCAACAGTATTCTATGGGGGTCGTTCCAGTGCGAGCACCCATGACCAGCGAAGGACTGCAAAAACATCATGTGTGACGAGAGTTATTTTGTACTTTGAATCCCTTCACGCTGGACACGTAGTGACTACTTCATAAGCAAGGGCAGAACAAGCATGCTTGAATCACTACAGCCTGCCGAATATTCGGCGGACCCCATTCTGTCCATTCTGCTGAGATATTGAGGCTTCGTTCCGCACATCCTAAGCCGCGGATCTGAGATAGATACGTGTGCCGCAGGTGCAAGAGCTGGCCGCAGTCAGGGTCTGCCGGTTGCAGCCACATGCCCGCACATCTTGGTGGATGCGTTGGAGTTTGTTTCTTCCTTGCCGGGGGATCCAGGCTTCGAATTTAGGGCCAAGGTCAGGCTTGTAGGATGTATTGGACGGGTTCTCAATCAAGAGATGGAGGGCTTTATAGGCTCGTGAGAAATGTGTTTTTTCCAATCGGTTCGAGGGGTGCTGAGCGGCGCTTGGAGCAGCGCCGGTACCAGCAACATTGCAAAACGCCTTCAATCCGACAGTGGTTTTGTTGATGCTGTGGGGTTTGGAATTGTCCCCTGCTTCCAGAATACAGGACACCCTGAACTTCAGAGTCTTGGTTTCTTTGTCGTGTAGTGGTTCAGGGTCCCTACTGCATCTGGACGGCCCGCCGGAGGTCAAACCCGAGAAATGACGGGTCCATGGCGCAATCCATGGATTTGGACCAGGCATGGGTTAATTAGTTTGGTGGGGGGGGGGGGGGACTTTGGGGCGGGGGGTTTAGGATTTCAGTGTTTAGGTTTTAAAGCAGGCGTTGGGGCCTTTGGGGGTTGGGTAAACAACCAAACGGTTCGTTCTGAGTACAGAGTTACATCGGGATATGGAAAAATCGGACCCTTGGTAGCAACATTTGCTGCATTTGGGACCTCTGGAGAGGGGTCTGCACATGTGGGTTGTGGAGGCTTGTGGATTTCATGCGAATCACGGGTTCGGGTTTTTCGGACAACTCAGCAAGTTTCTTCAACCCTCTATGGCCTACGGGGGGTTTACCGGCCGTTCAGCATCAACACTTCCCCTCCCAGCAACCAAAACCCCTCCCAGCAACCAAAACCCCTCCCTGGCCGGACCTTTGTCCGAACCACACCCCGAAGCACTGGAGTTCTGGAGGCAAGCCGCTTCATGAGGGCTCCTGGTCCTCACTTGTCTTCCTCCATCGGCACCACCGCAAGCTCCAGAGGAGGATCCGCACGCGGCTTTGAATCTATTGAACGAGAGCGAAAAAACTTTATGGATATTGAGGTTTGGGCTTAGTGGCTTCTTGTGTGAGCAATTAGTGGTGCGCACGTATCGACAGGCAACGCAGGGAAGACCCTGTCTAATCCCCATACATGTCACTATACTCCTCCTTGGGAGCGGGGGGGGGGGGGCGGGGGCGACGTTTCGGGAAGGATCAGGCGTACAGAGGGCTGGGGAAGTGAATGGTCGGTGGCCACCATGCGCTAGACAGCATGGGTTCTGCAAACTTGGGATAAGTTCTGTGGCTCAAGGGTTGCGTTGTTAGTTCAACTGCAGTGGGGCTCGAGTTGATGAAGCCCCAAAACAGCCATCAGCTTGGACAGGACTGCTTGTTCCCCCCGGCCGCCTGGCATTTCAGCTTCAGGGTGCTGAGCGCGGCAGACGTGGGTCACAAAGGTTCTTCGAAACCCTGAGTGGGGGATGATTTGGTTTTTCCCTGCACCGCAAAGCCCTTATTCCTTGAGTCCTGAATCGCCTCCCGGTGAGAGCACGAGTCACATACAACATGCCCTTCATCTTTAAGGCACGCAGGGAACCAGCGCTCTTGTTCGTCGGCAGATCTCAGGACCCCAGTTCCGCACCCCTTTCGTTGGGCATAGAAGGCGAAGCTTCAATAAAAGCGACCCCGCCCTCCCACAACCCTGGTCGGTAACTTTCAGAGTGTCCAAAGCAAACCCAAGCCATCGACCCTTTAAACCCTAAATGATCCTAAACCCGAAATTCTCCTAAACCTTTAACCCTTAACCCTAAATCATCCTCAACCATCCTAAGCCCCTTGAGCCTAAAGTTCTTGCCTCAGGTCGGGAGGTCGAGCTGCCTCAAACGTGCCTCTTCCACGTCAGCGGAGGTGATTTTTGATTTTGGGGCCTCGGGGAGCACTGAATCTGCCTTTCTTCGTCTTGACAGGCGGAAACGAAAGGCACGTTCCGCCGAAGACGAGTGGACATGTTGCTCTAATCTAAACCCTACTTGTAGGATCCTTCGCAAGCCAAGGCTCTAACGTTACTAACATCTTGGAAGTTTCTTGAGCCCGAAGCCCCAAGAAGCCTGCAGCCTACGCCAGTCTATATCTTGGGATCTACGGAGTCAAGACACTCAGTCCGCTGTAGGGTTTACATGGAACAGCGGATGAAGGGACTTGGATCCTAAGGACCAGGTCCATCGAAACCCTGCTTCTACAGATTCTTATAATGTGGGAACACGTCTTGTCTTGGCCAGGACAGCATCCCGGATGTGCTAAGCTGCTTACTAACCCCCTCCCCCCCCCCCCAACTGGCCCTGGGACTTAGGTACCCGAAGAGAGCGAGCAAGAGTGGCGAAGCCGACCTCTTTGACATGAAGGCGAAGGCAGGGGCTGCAAATACTTGAGGTCAGGCCCCTCCCCAAGACCCCATGGCTCGGCCTCACTCGTATGGAGCCCCACAATGCCAAACCCTTAGTAGGGTATGAGGGAACGGGGCCCTGTGTATACCCTTTGAGGGATTAGATAGGGCCCTAGTTCCCTCATTCCCTACTAAGAACCAGCCACTTAAGCCCGTTAACAGCCCCAATTATTGCTGCGACTTGGACAAGTCATGGTCCATGCAAGAGCGGGTGCAGGCCTATAGCTCCGATGGGAGTCCCGAATGATTCTACTCAGGTTCCTTTTTTCAAGAGCTGCATGCTGCATCAAACATTTGTTAGCAGCACTTTGTGGCATGCTTGCGATCCGGGAGTCATGTGTCTAATGATGGTACGAAGGCCTTGAAAAACATGGACGGGAGTGGCGAAAGGAGACGGGGTAACTGAGTAACACCCAGGATCAGATCCCGCACAGCACTTCTCAGCTCCTTCATCCATCACTTTGGAATTTCCTGCACCCGGCCTCGCTGTGCGCACCTAGGAAAACACATGCCAGTAGCTTGCTGCAGCACACAAACTTGTAATGTGCTGGGCCTCGGCAACCATGTCTATCTTTGCCGGTTCCGAACACTGTAGTACCCTGATTTGAGGGTATAGGGCCGCACACCCCGAGTACAAAAACGTCCCCCGAACTCCCAATCAGGGTCTGTATTGGGGGGTGTACTCTGTAACTCCTATTGCTTACACCAAACAACAAAAGTGTTCAGCATGATTTCTCCGGCGCCCCTTAAACCCCTGTATGAGCCTTCAACACCCCTGAACCTCCGCATGCGGACCCGTGCCCAGTTCTCCGGCTTTTTTGCCAAGCAGAGTTCCTCACAGATGCGGCTTGACTCAAGCGTTTGGGGTTTGGGGAGACAGGGATCCAGGTGAAGGGTTTGCGATGTCGAGGGATTGCGGGTGTATAAGAATCACGAGTTTAGGAAGTGGGGATGTGGGAATGGATGGTCATGCATCGCTGTCAACAGCTACATCCCCCGACATGTAGATCTGCACGCAGACTCACAATGTAAGCAGCAGGCCACTCAGATGACAAGTTGAGGCACTGAGTCCCCTGCCCTGCGTGAATCAATGTAAGCGACGCCGCAGGGCGATCTCATTTTTTCCGAGATCTTTGTGCTCCTGATGTAGCACAGGTTGAATCTGTACCTGAATCACAACTGCCAGCTTGAATCTCACAAGTCAAGGCCGCACTCAGACATCGAGGCCACTCTTCATTCCTTCGAGCTTTATTGCTGACTGCACGACAACTCCCACATGGCACCCGCCTCGTGTTTTTCTCAGAGCCAAACCGTAGAGAAAGGGACCCCAGTTAAGCCATCATACTTACAGGATCCTGCATCACTCCGCATGTACGTGCCGTTCTCCACAATGGCTTTGATCTGGGGCTTGCGGTTAGCAAGTGCTATAAAAGTTGAGAAGAGGGGCTGATATACTTCGAGTGCCCAGAACTGTAGGATAGACATTCCCCACTAAGAACCAGCACTAAATCCGAGGAGCGGAAGCGTGTGGGCTGGCAGGCAAGGGGGAGGGGGTGGGGAGGGGGGGGGGGGGGGGCAGGCCCCTAAGCCCCAAGCCAACCCTCATCCCTACACCCCTGAACCCTAAACCTTAAAAACAACTTGGCCTATAGGCCTGAGCTCTCGACTCTAGCAGGCGTTTGGTTCTAGGGCTGCTTAGTGCTTGTGATGCCTTTCAGGATCTCCAGTATTCTGCAATGCTTAGTATGTAAGCCCCATGACAGGTACGCGACTGTTAGCAATCGAGTTCCCCACGCCCCTCATCAAATTATCAACGTTGCACGCGCACGCGGGTGATGCAGGGTTTCGATCATTTGCGCATGCCTTTTCTGAGCATTGTAGGGCGGGCAATATCAAGGTTTGGAAGGGATGACTGTTATGATACAAGCAGCACCTTGGAAGTTCGTAAGGCCAGGCCAAGCTCAAAACACAGGCCCTTTTGCGCGTGTCATTGGCCAGGATTGTCTCGTCCAAAGCCTTTGTCATCGCCACCGCCTTCTTGCAGCTCATCCTGTGAATTCAGCCTCTCACTTGGTGGGTCTGTGTCGGGATAGATGGCGGCCACGACGCATAGCCATAATTCGACAAGAGTTTGCAACCTGCAGAGAGAGCTCAGGATTTTCCTCAATCTGGTGCTGCTGGGGGCCGAGGTCGGGTGCATCTGGATCTTCGTGGGGTTCGCACCTCTTGTGCTGTAAGAGTACCCTTCAAACCAGTACTTGTAAGTCTACGGACAAGGAGATCTTCGAGCAACACTTCAAGCCGCAAAATGAAAGAATCTTACGCTGTCGCTTTGTCCTTCCGACTGCGCTGGCAACTTGACTGCGATGCTTACAGTATCGTGAGAGCGACTGTAACCCTTCCGGCGAAACGTCTTGCGATAGCTGCTACGAGAATTGGTATAGGTCCATGGTCGACCGTTTTCTTCGGCAGTAGCACCAGCAGCAGCACGCGCAAGCCAGCGAAGCAAAGAGCTTCCAGCAAACTCCACGAAGGCTTCACACAAAAAACTGCCTCTCATTTTGAAAAGGTGGATGCCTCTGCCAGCCTTCCTTCCGACGAGCGGCTGCACGGCTTCTACGCGCCCTGTGTGGACAGTTGGTCTCAGTCGAGAGGATCGAGAGGGTGAGACGTTTTTGTAGGCTGAGGATGTAGGAGTGCATTGGGTTCGCTCCAATGCAGCATACCTGCTACTGCGCCTTTTCTGGGCAGCCTCCACGCCACAATGTATTTGCACAGTCAAACCTGTCGGGTCACACAGACGTACTTGCTGTGTTTCACGACCCGCGGCTCCTTCGATGAGCTCTTCCGTGCTCCAGGATTGAGCTCAGCCAAGGTACTCAACATGATCATTGTGGCGTTGTTCGTTGTCGAGATCGCTTTAAAGTTCGCGGCATACACGTGCAAAGGTGGCTTTGACAGCCCACCAGAGTCGTCTCACCGTGCCCCCATTCACTCTTCAAGGCAACGCCCTTCACCTATAGAAGCCCAGGCCGAAGACCCTACGACCCCAAACCCTGAATCCCAAACTGAGTTAAGCCCTGACCTCTTCACCCCATCGGCCCCTTGAGCGTCGAATGTATCGCCTATAGGGTTTCGGCTATTAAGGCTTTGGTGATGCTAAATGCCGGCCACTGTCGGCACGTATGCCCACCGATCTCTTCTTGAAGCCAAAAGGGAACCTCGGGCAAACAGTAGGCACCGCATACTGCAAGATGGCAAGAACCCTGCTACCTTGCTTCTACGAAACATCTTGAGGGTCCCCTCTTTTTGGGTGAATTTCTGGCCGATCCTCCATTCCTGGTGACTATCCCCGTCTTCTGGACCCGCAAGACGCGAAAGCCAGCACCTCACTTAGATCCGCCCACCTACGCCCACAAAACGCTGAGCATAAGCAGGGCAGCAGAGTCCTGAGCTCAGGATTCTTTCAAGGAAGCGACAGGCTTTGGAACATCTTCGATTTCTCGATTGTAATGCTAAGTGTTGGCGACCCTTGGCTGACGGAGGTCCTTTGGTGCGGGCTGGCTTGTCAGGGTTTCGTGGTTTCGGGGCCATGCTTGTACCCTAGAAGGAGCCGCGCGGACGTTTACTGCAAGTTGACTAAAATCCAAATGGCCCTGACGGTTGTCCACGGCCCAATTGGATGATTGCCTCATGAACTGAAGGTCAGCAGTGTACCCATACTTTCCTTGTAAATTCCAGTCCCCTTCATCGAGGAGATCATTGCCGATGTGGTTGACCAACTCACTTCTGACGGGCGCTACGCTGACTCGGACATCAGCAGCCTGACGCTGCAGAGTTCTAAGTTGAAAGCCTGTCGAAGGTTTCAAAAGTCGTATATGGTGTGATTCTGCGAAGGTGGCTCTCCTAAATCCTCACCTTCCACCCTCCAAGGCGCATGGGAGAGGCCTGGAACATAGAGCTCCACCCTTCAAACTGTCACAATCACAAGGATCCCCGCGTTGCATCGCAATGCCATGTTGATTGGCACTTGTCTACAATGCCCCTTATCCCAGTGGTATCCTTGCTTTCCTGATTTCTGGATGGCAGCTCCGCACGTGATCAATTATCGCCCGAAGAAAGGCGAAAGGCCCCTATGCTGCAGGGTTAGCTCAGAGCTTTAAAACATTGAGGGCTACCTGGGAGATACCTCCTGAACCTGAGGCCACTTGCGCTTGATGCGCTTCGTGCGACTGGCGCGGGCGTTGCGAGGAATTCGTGCTTCGCCCTAAAGCGGAAGTTGGCTTTCGGTACAAGAGTTTCCTCCGAGTCTAGGGTCATGCATAGCGCTTGGTATGCTTGATAAGTATACAGATGTGCCTCGTAGTAAGCGGCGTTTAGATGAGAGACCATCCGCTTCAAGAGCACATTGAGGGGTGGAGGAAGAGTTTCTGCTTACAGTTCACATAGAGGCATAGAGGTTCAAGGCGTTGGAGGAGGCACGTTTCGAAGCCAATTCCTCAAAGAAATCCTACTTAGTGTCTTGTCTTGGTGCATGCAGGTTTCGGCATTTCCATGATGCCTTACACGTCCCACAGACAACGTCTTTGGCTTCCTCGTAGCTTCGGGTCATCCAGAGTTGTTGAGGAGGCTCAAGTCCTCATTTAGTGCTGTCAGGCGTCGTTCGCTTGCTCCGCTGCTTGGCAAGCCAGGGTTAGTGTGCAACGAGATGTGGTAGCGTGACGCTAGCGGTCAGTAGACGGCCAAGACGCAAGTATGGGAACCTGAGGCAAGCATGCCTACAATGTCCTGCAGAAAGTCCTTTTACCTTGGTGCGTGGTCAGATGTCAGGCTACATGTCCAGCTTGCGCACCATTGTGTTCTCGATCGTGCCTGGGCGCGCGGGAAATATAAATCTGAGAAATTCGAATCTGAACGTTGCAGGTTGAAGGTATTGCGCTGGGCTTCAGGGCTCAGACTTTGAAGCCTTTGCCTGCTGTATAGGAGATGACAGGGTGTAAGAGGTCCTTGATGCGCCAACGGGCGTTTATTCTTGGTGGTTTAGGCGGCAGTTGTAGAAACCAGTTGGCGTGCTACAGCCAACTGGCTGCACTCCAGCGTTTGTCACCTCAGAAGCTGATTCTCCGAGACCACGGCCATCGTTCCCAAACAGCGCCTGGGTCCTCAAGGAAGCCGCCAAGTGCAAATCCCAGGCACTTGAGACCAGAAACCCTAAACTACCCCTAAACCCCAAACCCCAAACCCTAAACTACCCCAAGCCCTAAAAACCAAAAGGGCTTTGAGAAGCCCTCGCCCAGATGAGCACTATGAGTTCGGTGCTTTGGACGATGGTGCCCTTCGACCGAACCGGCTCCGCTAGCAGTTGAAGAACTAAAGGTTCAGTGATTAGGGCCGGGTATGATATTCACACATTTCGCTATTTGAAATGCCTAATCCAAAATACACATGTACGCATATGTGTGTGTATATATATATATATCCTAACGCCTAGCTGCTCGAAGGCCTGAAAGCTCGTTCAGGTTTTCTTCCCTGCTGCCGAGGCTGTTAATGATGATCTTCTTTTGCTTCGCAGTGTTCGTTGGCTGCATCTCCGACATTGAAGAAGGAAGTATGCCGGTCTTCTCAAATCGCCCTGTGGAACCGAAAGTGACTCATCCAAGCAACAGCCCCCACACCCCCGCCCAACACAAAAGGGGGGCGCGTTTCCACAAATTGCCTTCTCCACCTGTCCTTTGCGGTGCCAACGCGCTCCTCAAAGAACATGCCTCTTTTTTTCCCCAAGCAAGCCGGCGGCATGTCCAAATCTTAGATCAGGCAAGTCGTCCATCCTTACTTACATCCTTCTATTCTCATCAAAGCTAATGAGTAATTCAGTAAGGGTTCGATTGCCAGCACTTGCGAGGCCGAAGGCTTAAGAGTAAGAACTGGAAGCAAAGTGAACAGTAAGCACGGCTTGCGCCGAAAGATCCAGCGCTTCTATAGCCATCGCCGAAAGCAGCGACATAGAAGCAACATCGATAAATCATGGCGCCCAAGCTTCCAAGCGCAAGAACAGGGGGAATGCCCTTGGACCCAGGTTGATCGCTCAGATAGTGTCTGATCATTGCCGACAGCAAGTGGACAACTCCCTGGCCTGCGAGCCACTGCTGCGCCATTTCTGGCCACTTGGAATGTCAAGGTCCAATTGCGTGATCTGTCGTTGTATGGGGCTCAGCCTCAGCTTGCGCAAGCTTGAATGGTTTGGGCAGGAATAGAAAGGCCTGATCGCCGGAGGCTGTTGCGTGGAGCTCCCTTCTTGCTGTGTCGAGTCTGGCCACGTCAGGTATAAGTTTGTACAGGTTTCATACGTCGAATCTTCATGCCTTAAACCGGGCCCGGAAATCCTGAACTCCCAGCCTTTGTACCGAGGAGCTCAGTCATGGAATCCATGCTGACGCTCTTCCTCTCCATCACTGGAGGCCCAAGAGGGCTCGTGAGGGTTCGTTGGGTTTTTTTCCTGGGTGATGGGCAACCCAAGACATGTGAGCCTGGTGTCGAAGCGGTGGATGTGTTTTTGAGGGCACGATGGCGCGTGGAGCTGAGTTTTCACGTACTTAACAGCTCACGGTCTCGAAGACAGTGCGTTGTGGCGTGATGCACGTGATATGGGACTTCTTTTTATGAACTCGTCTGCGTGAGTGCCCGGGTAGGAACATCCAAGATCTCAGCTGCAAAATAGCACAGTCATAAGATGCATGATTTCTTGCCAGCGCGAATGCTGCGATGACGCAGGCGCAGCCGGGATGCGGATCAAAAAAAATTTATTTAGGATCAAGAAAAAATTTATTTAGGATCAAGAAAAAATGTATTTAGGATCAAGAAAAAATTTAATCTGTTCTTCTGACGGAGAAAGAGAAAAGGGGAGGGAGGGAGGGAGAAAACGAGGGAGGGAGGGAAGGAAGGGCGGAAGGACGGAAGGACAGGAGGGAGGGAGGGAGGGAGGCAGGGAGGGAGGGAGGGAGGGAAGGAAGGAAGGAAGGAAAGGAAGGAAGGAAGGAAGGAAGCAAGGAAGCAAGGAAGCAAGGAAGCAAGGAAGCAAGGAAGCAAGGAAACAAGGAAGCAAGGAAGCAGGGAAGGAAGGAAAGGGAAGGAAAGGAAAGGAAAGGAAAGGACGGGAAAGGAAAGGAAAGGAAAGGAAAAGGAAAAGGAAAAGGAAGGAAGGAAGGAAGGAAGGAATCAAGAAAGAAAGAAAAAGGCAAGAAACAAAAGAAAGAAAGCAAGGAAGAAGTCGTGCCAGCTTGCTTCAAAGCATACGTATTCTGGCCTTCTGGTTGCTTGGTGCTGTGCTCCCAAGGTCCTCTGGCCACGTGGTCCTCTGGTCCTCCGTGGTCCTCTGGTCCTCTGGTCCCGTGGTTTCCCGGTCCCGTGGTCAGATTTTGCTTCTATTTATTGTTTTTTGGTCATAATGGTATGTATATTTAGTTCTGTAGGAAAACATAACATACCATCATATGTTATAATATATATATATATGTGTATATATGAAAACAAAGTACAATAATATTATAAAGGTGGAATAGAGTATCATAGAACACAGTATCGTATAGTATACCTTTGTATCATAAAAATATACAAAATCGTAAAAAGAAGTGCTATTTTATATAAACTTCATAATCCACAATACATATTTATTGTTTGTTTGGCGCCGGGCAAGCTTGTTCAACGCGTATGAATCCTTTCCAAACCCATGATGCGAGCATTGTTTTTGCAAATGGGGGGGGGGTCTGCGCCCCCCCCCTCCCCTCAAACCCCTCGCTGGTTTTTAAAGCCGGGCAAGCTTGCTTCAAAGCATATGAATATCCTTTCCAAACCAATGATGCGAGCGTTGTGTTTGCAAATGGGGGGGGCTGCGCCCCCCCCAACCCCCCGCTGTTTTCTTAGTCCGGGCAAGCTTGCTTCAAAGCACATGAATCCTTCCAATCCCATGATGCGAGCACTTTTTTGCATAATATATAATCATACACAAAAATACAACAATTTTCAAGTATATACAAGAATATGCATCAATATACACGTAAAACAAGAATAACTTACAACAGTTTTCAGTAATTGACAATAGTGTTCAAGAATCGACAACAATAGACAATAAGAGACAAACATATACAGTAATATACAACAAGAAAAACAATACTTTTCGAACATATACAAAAATATACAGTAATATAGAAAAACACAAAACTTCAATGACATACAATAATGTAACATAGTATACAATAATATACAATAATAGACAATAATATACAATAACATACAATAATATACTATAATATAGAATAATCTGCAATAATGTACAGTAATCGACAAAAAAAGAAAATAATACACAATAATTTTGGAAATATACAAGAACATTCAAAAATATGCAACAATATAAATATTATACAAAGATACAAGAAAATACACGACAAGACAATAATACTCAACAATATGTACAACAATATACAATAATATGCAAGAATATGCAGCCTTTGCAAACTCAGAAATGCTGCTATTTACAGTATTTCCAGCCTCTGAAATCGCAGAGATGCTGCTATTTTCAGTATTTGCAGCCTTTGGAAACTCAGGAATGCTGCAGTGTACAGTATTTCCAGCTGCTTTTGAACGCGCAGAACTGCTGCTATATACAATACCTGCAGCCTCTCTGGGAACTCAGAAATACTGCTATTTTCAGTAGTTCCTGCATAAACGCTGTGTTTTTTCGGTATTTAGAGCTTGCTAACGGCCAGAACTGCTGCATTTCTGAGCGTTTACGGCCTCCGCTTCGCTTGCAAGAAGCCTTCGAA